ACCCCCCCAAAGTTTCTCAGCGGATTTGGGCTGTACTCAGCAAGCGCAGTACAGCCCCCAACTCAGATTTGAAAAACAAATTGTGGATGGTTGTTTTCTGACTGGTCAGCAGACCGCCGACCGGTCGGCCCTACTGGTCGGCTGCAATACGGTCGGCGGTCGGGGTCAGCGGTTGGCAGGGATGGAACCCTGTGGTATCGTAATAATAATAGTCAATCACTTAGATAACTTGATAAGTACAAATTTGGTCATACAACTTCTCAGGTCAAGGATGAATCTAATCAAGAACTGGCGTGGTGAAGTATGAATCACAGCGTAAAACTGACCAGGTTCTTGCAAACTACTTACAATTGTATGAAATATGAACCACCTCTTTCCAGCACTCCTCCCTTTCGTGTCTTTTTTTATAATTTCTAAATGGCTTCATAATGTAATGAACCCGGTCTCGTAGAGAAGCCAGTCCGCAATGCAATAGAAGTGTGAACCCAGCGCACCTGATGAAGTCTCCGAAATAGTAACCAATATAGTACATGTATCTCTGTCTCTTTCTCTCTCTCCGCCACTTCCACTTCGGGCTTCGCCCCCTATCGCCACCTCAGCAATGCATGTTCCCTCTGTCGTCCTCTGACATAAGTACTGTGCAGATCATAACAGGGCGCCCACCCTCCCTTCATGTCAGCAATAAGATATGGAGGATGGCACAGCACTTCCTCACCTTCTTGGAGAACAGCAAGCAGCAGATCACACGTGTCGTCGCCTGGTATGTCCAGGTAACCCCCTCCCTCCTGGTAGCCAGTGTGTTGGCCCTGTTGGGGCATTGGACTGACTCATTCTTGTTTGTTCCATTCTGATTGGCTCAGTGTTGATGCTGTCAGAAAAAGGCGTTAAGGCGAAACGAACAACTCTCTCCCTCCCCAGCTTCAGGTACGCTTTTCTCGAAGCAGAGTGCTCAACAAATGAAGCATGGTACCTTCTTAATCTGACCAGTCAGGCCTCCAATCAATGTTGCCGTGGATTGTTTCTGAATGTGCAAAAACTACAGGTGCTGCCATGTGCCCAACGGGCCGGGCCCAGTCGGTACACCCTTGAACCTGTTGAGATAATGGATAATGACCTGAGTTCGAACTTTTTTCTTTCTTTCTTTTTTTTCTGAGGGAAAATACAGTTGCCTCCGTGTTCTTTTCAAAGTGAAAACCTTGAGTGCATTAAGCATGTGGTCCGGATTCTTCAGGAGTTTTTTTTTTTTTTTTTAACAGGTCTGAAGTACGGTCTACTTCAAAAAAAAAAAAAAAAAGAGGTCCGAAGTAGAGTTATAAGCTTGCAAACTATGGTAGCTTAGCGCATTACCCATGCACTGGTACTTTCTGGATTCTATGTGGCTGTGGGTGCGGCTGTGGATGAAGCATTCAGGAAAACAAGTGCACGTGTACTCTACAAGCACCTTTAGCTTCTCACACTGTGTGAGGTGTCGGTCTTGAACAGCCATCTCACTATGGTCTCATATCGTTTGTTTTTAAAATTTTTGATGAAATTCGCACTGCAATTGCCAACGAAAACGGCGAATATTTGGGCCCCCGTTAACCGTCTCTCGGGTGTTTTGCTTGCTTGTGATGGGGTGTGAACCGACAGTCTGTAGAGTTTTCCATCTGGTATGGGTTTTCGTGGGTGTTTTGCTTGCTTGTGATGGGGTGTGTCGTCTGTAGAGTTTTCCATCTGGTATGGGTGAGTGATAGTCTGCTTTGACTTTTGCCACAGGTACCTTGAGGGCAGTGGTTGGTGCCCACCTCAGGGTATCAGTTGTCGGGCAGTCGTTGATGCTTAACCACAGCCGGGGTTAAGGTGGATTATCACTTACAGTGTAATCGGATAGGGATTCTGCAAGGGATTCTGCAGACTCTTGACGGTTCAACCTCCTGATGAGTCAGTGAAACTCCAACGAAACAGTTTGCCACAGCCCCCCGTTTCTTGTCCTCTTCTCTCTCTCTCTCTCTTTGTGCCTATGGTTTACCGGGCAGCTCTGTTTGACTATATATATATATATGTATATAGTTTTCCATCTGGTGTGGGTGAGTGATAGTCTACTTTGATTTTGGTTAAGGTAGATTATCATTTACAGTGTAATCAGTGAGGGGATTCTGCAGACTGTTGAGGGTTCAGCCTCCTGATGAGTCGGTGAAACTCCGACGAAACAGTTTGTCACAGCCCCTCGTTTGTTGTCCTCTTCTCCCTCTCTGCCTACGGTTTACCGGGCTACAGTGTAATCAGTGAGGGGATTCTGCAGACTGTTGAGGGTTCAGCCTCCTGATG